CACCTAGATTACTGAGACCTACACTAGCTTCTGTGAGTCGTTGACATGTTGTCTGCCAGCGTCGGAACAGCCAGGATCCAAGGGATTCCCTTGATTTGCAGTCCAGGAAAGTTATTTGAACATCGAGAGCGAATAGTCGTTGATGAAACTACCAGAAGCCATCAACAACTCGAGCACCGTGAAAACAAATACAGAAAAATCGCCCACATACACCGGACACGCGTAACGTAGGAATCAAGGCTTTAAGCGCACTCCAGAGGCGCTCGCAGCCCTCTCCGTCGGAGAATCCAAAACCTACACACTTCCGCGGATGATACACAATTTGACATGGCCACTGATGGCCGTAAGCGTGGAACACCGAAATAGCGAATATGATACGAGGGAGTAAATCAGGGATGAGGTCCCACTTGTTGCAGCTACGATCTAGCTGGCACCCTATGTCGTATAGAATACCAACCACCATATCCGAGGGTAAGTTCTTGAACAGCTCGATGATCAAGGCGATCGCGTAATGTTGCTTTTCCCCGGCGGAAGTCATGTTCACTAACCAGAGAACACGATCGTGACGACATAACAAAGCCATCAGCCCTGTATCCGTGAAAAAGCGCATGCTCGCCTTCTCTCGTTTGTCGTCGGCCGCCTTGAAGCTCTCATGACAGCTCTCCAGTGCTGATTTAGGGACTCGCATACCGGGTTCCTTTGAATCCTCCTCGGTGGTCCCGGTGTTCGTCGGCCGCCTCGTTCCCTTACTCCCTCTCTTTGCATCGACAACGTGTTCGACAGCTTTCACGTCGTCTTCCCTCAGGAAGAGAGTTTCTGTCGGATTCTCGGGGTCTCGTCCTTGGTCCTTGTGATGAGTCGCGGAGCGCTTTTGCGTGAAGCAGGCGTCAATGCAAGCGATAACGTCTGGGCTGTGCTTATGTTAGTAGTATACATAGCACAAGCAAAACGTTCACGTACGTGCCACCTACGCGCTCTGCTGTACGCCAGTCTTTCCCTCCGAAACACAATTCACATCGTTGCCGCAGATACCGTGACGGTTGCTCTGACGTTGACGGAGAAGAGGTCTCCTCGATCACGTCCTGCTCTGATGATGACGAAGAATGGTGTCCCTCAGTCACGTCTTGTTCCGACGAGGATGAAGACCGGTGCCCCTCAATCACGTCCTGCCAAAACGAGTCGCACCGCATGATCAAAACGCGATACCAATGAAATGCACGATGAAAGCGTCGCCTGAGGTTATCCTGTATTACCATAAGTTGTGCATACACCCTTGATTCGAATAGCGTACCCTTTTCGGTAGTTTGTAGCCCATGTTCCCAAGCACATCTTCCAGCGTGTCAGTCCATGCGGTCACGTTTGGGGCCGTTCTTAAGTGCAGGGACCGCATAAAAGCAAGTACGCGTAGGTCCACGGCCAACGTGGGCCCTACAGGTGCACAGCCGAAGAGGCCAGCTCTCAAAAGCTGTTTTGGGGCCGAGTCACATTCGCACGAAAGGAGGGAACGCTCTTCAAGGCCTAGCTCAGAGTAAGCGATGGGTGACAAGACGAACTTGACGCGAAGACACTTACGATCGAAGAATACACATGTCACCGTTAGACGACGCCCTGCGCAGCCTGCTGTACACTTTCGCGGCGCGTTCAGGACGTCGAGGCTAGGCATATTGCGTAAGTTGTCTGAATGCCTGAGTAGCTTGAGATACAGCATGATAAGAGATGGTATTACTACCGTCGACCATTTCATCCACTGTCGTTTCTTCTTCTCTCTTCCAGACAGGTAGCGCCGAGGGGCCGGAGGAAACGCCGCGGGATCGTGATTAGAAAGCACGTAGGTTGTGTCTTCGGAGAACATGTCGTCGTTGAAACGATGCGGTGACGGGTGAGCGTCTGGTGCAGGGGGTATGTCTGATGCAGGAGATACGACGCCATGGTCGAGGGAGAGTGACGATTGGGTATCTTGGCTTTGCTCAGCAGCTCTAAGGGGGCTCTCTGCTGGACGTTGCCGCTTTGTTGGCTTTGCACCAAGTTTGTAGCGCAGCCCGCCTGTATACAAACCGGTCAGCGATGATAGAAACATCTGACTGAATCATACCTGGAGCAACGACTAATGCAGTACCCGCTCCCACCCGCCGCCCACGCTTTACGCGTACCAAACTCGTGCTTGCTTCAGATGCAGCTGCATTTGGGGCGCAGCGATGGACCCCTTTGCGTTGACGACGGCTCGCTGACGAGGATACACGTGCGTCCGTTACCTGAGTACTCGGGGCGCGATCACCAGAATCTTGTTCTTGCACAATATCCGCCGATGACGTATCATTAGGCATGTCTACAATTTCAATGAGAGCACTTCAGCATGAGTCCATGAGTTGTTGTCGATCGTAATGTATGTACGAGACCGCGAAAATGCAATGTACCGAGATCAACGCAAAAAGAAAGGGAAAAAACAAAACAAAACAAAACAAAGATCTAAAGCGAGAACAACGCCGATGCAACAACATATGCAAGTCAAATATCATCTAGGAAGAAAGAAGAGGGTCCCGATACTGGTCCTCAGTCGTCAAGGAAGAAGGGCGGCACCTCCCGCGGTACGGTAAGTGGCCGCCGCCAGCGATCATGGCATCGCTGGAACAAGTGGTTGGCGATGGTCATGTGAACGACGACGACGCCGGTTGTTGAAGTGATGGGACTCTGCAAACGCGGCGGGGAGTTAGGCCACTCGGCCATCAGAGCTCGCAACTTGTCAGCTCGAACATGCGAGCTTGCTGCATCAGCTCCGAGAACATCGCGGCGAGTTTCGACGGACTGGGTAGGCATCGGGAAAATGTCGGTGAGCCTCGCATGCCGGCCCGACGGATCACGGAGCCAATCCGCTGGCATGATCAGTGCATCGAGAGCCATGACGTCAGTGGCGAAACCTAGATCTGATAGATCCCAAAACAACCCTCGCATCAAATGATCCTTAGGGTCGGCCCAAGCCTCCGGGGAGATGCTGTGACCGCGCACGTTAAACACAGTTTGATCCGTCGACTGGGGCACGGAGTCCAAGTCGACCAAGCGGCACAGTTGAGTCCTTGCCAGTGCCTGATCCACCTTCGACTGGGGCCGTTTGCCCTTGCCACCTTCGTACGATACTCCTATTGCCAACCAAACAAAACCCCCGAGAAAATGTCGCCACTCCTGCGTAGAAAGACCGCGCACTTCTGGGTCCCGGTCAGGCAGTCGCGCTGCAATGGCACTGAGGATGGCAGGGCTTCCCCAGTATGCGGTAATCAGTGCAGGCCGGAGCGAAAGCCAGTTACGAATGAAGGTGACCAGCTTGGGGGTAGTTTGAGTCCCAAAGAAGAGATTGGGGTCAGGAATGAGGAAGGCGCCAGCGAAAGGAGGGCAAGAGACTGGATTAGAGTAGTCGACTTTCCCGCAGGCACTTGACCAGGTTTGGTGCACGCCGGGGAGCCTTGCGCTCGTGTCAAGTTTCCAGCGGGAGGTGACGGGCTGCGTGCACACGCCCTTGGTAGACGTCGCAGATGAGCCTGACGACGGACCAGCATTGTTGCTGCGATGGCGACCAGCATCTACATACTAGTTAAGCCTCGATTAATATCGAATCACTGAGAGAACTTACATGGTTTGCGCTGATGCGAAGCGACGTTATGCTTCGGGTTGTATGCCGCATTCATCCTCGTCGAGGTAGCCGGGTCACCGAAAACAACCTCTGACTTCTCGGCCGTATTCCCGTACCCATACCGAGCCATATACGCGCGCTCTGGTCCCATGGGCCAGTTCTTCACTACTGCGGGATATGGGGTCGTCACATTGTCAACCTTCGAGTGTTCGATCGCAAGATGGGGGTACTTTTTGAGGGAGACCATCGTCAAGCTCTTGATAGACGGAGAGATGTCGTTTCGATTGCGGGGGATCCAAACAGGCACACCGGAGCGGTAAAGCTGGGACGCCCATGCGGAGTTCGTGCAGAATGCCCCCACGTACTTGGTGCTGGCCCGGATGATGACGCCGTCTAGCTTCGGATCGCTGGGAGCAAAGTCGGGGGAGCGTAGATAGGTCCAATCCTTGTGCATCATGGCACGCCCTACAAAGCGCCAGTAGTGTACAAAACCGAAGATATCCATCATACCACGCTGCAGATCAGCTAAGCGTAGCGTGAGGTTCCGAAAGTCGCCTGCACATGAACCCAGTGCCTGACCATGAGACTTGACGCGATCCAGCGCGTCCGCGACCCATGCACGGCCGGCGATGAGAGAAGGTCTGTCCGCCTCCATGTAGTCGGCGTTGCGCGGGTCGGTACCCTTTATGAATGGTTCGGCCTCTCTGGAAAGGAAGCGGGAGGCTTCAGCGAGCAGGTTGAGCAGAGACGGCTTCACAACGCCAGAGCGGCTGTTGGAAGCGGAAAAGTCGACATCATGAATGCTCAGGGTGTACCACAAAACGGCGAAACAGTGAGTTTGAAAGGCTTCTTTGTTGGGATAGGCAATGATCCAGCATTGACGCGGATGGTATTCGTATGGAACATGGAATGGATCGTGGAGCCCAAAGCGACCATCAGCACGGGCGACGAGGTCTGCGCATTCTGGTCGGTAAGGTGGAATGTAGTCGGCATTAGGAGAGGTGATGACTCCATCATTGCAAGGCGCCCACGTCAAAGCGTCATACGGACCCCATTGATCTGTTGTATCTTGAGACCGTGTTAATGTCATGATCGCTAAGCCACGTACGTATGGAATCCTTAGGCGTAGGCTCCCATAGATGAGGAGAGAATAGATTGGAAGGATGCTTGCTGGTGGCCATCTGTCGTGACGAGCATAAGTTACTGAAGGGACAAGAGCACACAATATACCTTTGAGTGTCGATCCTTCAACGGCGTTTTTCTAGCGTCTCCAAGAGATGAAGATTGTACGTAGAGCAGTGGAAGAAAAGGCGAAGAAAAGAATATCGACCGGACACGCCACAACAGAAGCGCACAGATTAAAAAGATAATGAGCTAAAATTGAAGGGAAAATGACGAGGGAATTATCAAAGTCGAAGCAAGAACTAAGGTGATTGCGCCGCTGGTCCTGAAAAACCGACGGTCAAGCAAACCCTCTGACACAGAGTCGAGGTAAGAGTAGATCACAAAGACCCACGACGAGGTGTCACAAAGACACCCTTGTGGCGGCGCAAAGCCCCACAAGAACGGCGGAGGGGGAGGGGAGGATATCGCTACTAACCTTATACCGAATCCTACTCTTGAGGGGCTTTGAGGATCTCCGAGGGGCTGGATGGTACCGGATGGATAGTGGGGGAGGTCGAGAGTCGAGGACGAGGAGATGGAAGGAAAAGATAGAGATTGTTTATCGCACAAACACTACCAACGCAAGCCGCGGCTCGGACATCTCCGGTCGGTGGCACCTGGTGGCACGTCACCGCAACTATGAGCTCCGCTACAGACTCAGCTCCAGCGAATGTGAGCTCACTGCGAATTTGCTTCCGTGTTCAAGCCCCGAACGTCCGCCAGACTCAGCGAACTATCAATAGAGTCCTCTGCGCTGGTGGCGTTCGCTTTGTGGGTGCATTACTGACGTTTTGGGTCACTCAATAGAGCGTTTAGATATGGCTTTCAGGCGCCCTTCGCTTCTTGCTTTTCCCCATGTCCCTATCCTCGTCCCAGTCCCTCCTCTTTCTCCCTCACCTTCACTGTCCCATCTCGTTTCATGTCCTCCTCCTCGATAAACCTCCGTCGCTCCATACATGTTCTCCACTTGAAGGTCTTTGCGACCTCTAGGAAGTCTTTGGGACTTCTATCCCGGCTGATCTTTGTGATCAGCTTGTCCAGAGTGGGTCTTTGTGACCTTGCGAGCGTCTCCGTGACCTCCTTTCACCTCCTTCGTCTTCCCACCGGTAAATCCCTCACAGTTATTCATCCTTCGTGCTCTGACTAACGCCAATCACGTCGACGCCACGGCGTTATAGGTGCTTTTGGTTGGGCACTCAATCTATCGCGAAGGATGCCTCAAGAGCAAGAACATGGAGAGAAGGGATTGTGTTGGATGGTAGGCTCCGCTTCTGGTGAGATTTCCATCATATTCTTGTATCCTGTTCATTAACGCCGCTTCAGTCATCACAGCAGAGAGGTGTGTGATAAGGCCCTTCGCTTGCTACTCGGGATGGATGCTGACGACCTAACCTGTATCAACATGGAAACCTTCGATCAGCTCAGGCTCCATTTGCGCGTGAATATATCTACTCTTTCCGCAAGTGTACGTCTCACCGTATTTCAATTGAAAGCATGGACCGTGTCATCACGTCCATCATACTTGACGTGGTCGAGAATGGACTGGTAACGAGGTATGATTGTTACTACATCTTTAGTAGCTTCCTTTGAGCTTGGTTTCTCAGTGCACAATTGTCACGTCGATGATTTGTATACGTACCAGCGGACTCTTGAGAGAACATGGATAACATGGTCGTCCAGTGGTTTGTCATCGTCATGGGTCTTCACTTCGTTTTTGGCAAATGTGAGTCATATACTTGACGCTTTAAAGACCGTCCGGTTTGCTGATGTTGGTTAGTCTACGCGTGCTCGTTACTCGCGTCGTAATCTGTTGTTGTCTTATGACCCAGGTGCGCACATGAATGATGAATTAAAGGTTTGGGTCACTGAGCTTGTCGAACATGTAACACAGTTATCGTCGAACCTGAATTCATGGATATTCCAGCGTGGCGTACGGAGTGCAAACTTTGGTCCGGGGAAACGATGAACTACTTGCAAACCAAATGTCGGCCGTACATGCAAGAGCTCGACGTATGCGGAGCTGTTCAAGCGTGCGTCGTGCTTTTCTTCCTGCCGACGTTTCAACGACCTCTGGCGCTGATGCATAACTTGCTTCACAGGCGACAATTTCTGGCGGACGATGATCACAAGCGTCATCTTCGTCCTCCCGCAGATCGTCGGCGTGCCACTTGTACTCTCGTACGACACGTATTTCTTCGAGCTCGCCGGGTTCGCGGCAACGAAGGCATTCGACCTTAGCATCGGCATTACTGCTCTTGGCGTGCGTATACTTCCTTCCCTACTTCTGTTGCTCTCGCCGTCCAATATACCGCTGACCGCTAAGCTGACATATTTCCAATAGATCTTCGGCAACTTCGTCACGTTCTACACAGTGAACCACCTCGGCCGACGGACACTCTTCAACTGGGGTACCTACGGCTTCGCAGTCATATGTCTCCTCATTGGCTTCCTGACGATACCCAAGACGCAAAGCGCACGTTGGGCCGTCGCTGTCTTTGTAAGCTCGCCCTGCCGTCTCTTCCATAAATCATCTCATACTGATTTATACTTGGTATAGACTGTACTCTGGAACTTCGTGTACGTTCCCATTCCTATCAGACGATCCGTCAGTCTACTTTCAGGGTGCTAACCCACGTTTCTTGTTTCTATGCAAAGTGGCCCAATCGGATACGTCATCCTCGCCGAAGCCCCCTCCGAGAAGCTCCGCACAAAGACGATCGGCATGGCCAACGTCTCCCAGGCTCTCGCTGGTCTGCTCTCGGGCATCATCACGCCCTACCTGTACGTCTTTTCCGCGTCTGTCTGGACCAGTCTCCCGCGCCAGGCGCTCGAACAACAATAACCACCGCTCACCCTACTTATTGAACCGCAGGATCAATCCAGACGAGGGCAACCTCGGCGGATACGCCGGCTTCTTCTACGGCGGGCTCACTGTCTTCGCGTCTGTCTGGGTATGGTAGTTTATTGTGGAGACGAAGGGGAGGACGACCGACGAATGGGTGTTTCTTCATCCCTTCTGTTTTGAGAACAAACCGAAGGGCTAACGTTCGATTCGCAGGGTCGACATTCTCTTCGAGCGCAGCGTGCCCGCGTGGCGCTCGGCGTCGTACAACTGCTACGAGGGGCACGAGGAGGGCGGTGTTCAACCTGCCGCTTCCCAAGAGGAGCGAGAGAAGCATTAG